AATAAATTAAGTTGCTGCTGCTATAGACAAACCAGCAGAAGTTTTTGTTAGCCATACACCAGGATCTGTACCCTGCAACAATGAAAACAGAATAAGAGGTGTATTCAAAATGGCGAACAGGAGGGAGGATGACTAACGGCAACAGCAGCTGCTGCTGCTGCTGGTGTCGCTGCTGCTGTCTTCCTGTAGCTGAAGAGACGAAAGGAATATGAATATGTAGAAAGACACAATTGGATGTTGAAAAAGAAATCAAAGGCAAACAGCAACACCTCATAACACATAAACACACTATTGAACAAAACAGCAGCAGGAAACAACAAGAAAGCCTAACAGCACGCTACAAAAAGCAGCGGAAAAGAACAAAAAATGACACGAGAAGAAACGCCCATACTACATTACACGAGAGAAAGCTACAGGAAGAGGATGCTGCATTCTTTTTTCCTCTCCATACTACACACCATACCGCCATGGGTTTGTGGTGTGTGTGCTGTGGCGCGGGGTTATACAACGACAACCTTACCTCTCTTATATTCGCACAGAGGTTAGTGGTATTGACCTTATCCTCTCCAGTAATTGGTGTTGATGTATCTAAAACAGTGAACTTAGGAAATCCCATAGGTTCCCTCTCCTTGTTCATCTGCTCCGAGCAGTCGACGGCCGCTGCGGACAAGCAGAAGGGACCACAAGGAATGTCTACTTGTCCTCATCTTCTCGCATCCTTAGAACCTCTTGGAAAGAGAAGAGCTTCTCTGGAACACTCACAAAATATCTTGTTGCCGGCGGCTTGTGCCTCTGTGAAGAGCGTAGACACGGCGGCAGCCGTGCCTGCAAGTACGGCGAAACAGAAACGCCGCATTATTATGCTGGCTCAAAGAGAGCCCAAGGGAAAATGAAGGAAATTCCCTTCTAAGAACAGTAATACTAAAGAAAAACACTAAAAAACAAATGGGTCATTAAGTGCCACTTGTCAAATAACAAAGAAAAACGATGAATTGCTAGGGCGGGAAGGCTGAAGAGACCGAGGTGAAAATTTTAGTGTGAAGATGCCGGTCGATCGGCTGTTTCTGCTAATAAATGGCCTCCCATTGTTTCTCTTTGTGATATTTCTAATGCAGAAATGTGTAATTAGAAATAAATCTTTTAATTAACTCTTTTTTCCGCTTCTTTTTATACTAAAGTGTCACCAACCACACCATTCCTTCGATGTTCTTAAACACACAAGCCGACCAAACAACAACCGGATTCCCGAGCTTTCTTATATGGGAGTTTTTCTTCAGGTTTGGCAAATTCAAATAGTTGCAATTAATTTTTTAAATTACATTAAAAAAATTCTGCAGTTTATAATGACTTTCCTCTATCCCCCCTCGCTACGGGCGTCAAATTGCCACTGTTGCGTTTAATTCTCCACTGTACTTGCTTATCTTTTCCTCCTTCTCTCATAATTATTTTACCCTCAAATCAATAAATATTCATTATTCCCTGAAATGTAATTTCTTGAAATGGTAGAATATTCAATTTTCCCTCAATAACTGTGCGCTCTTCCTGCTTTAATAGCACGACTGCGTACACACCACTTTGTCCGTTGTGTCCCTGCTTTTCTAGTCGTAAAAGTCTGCCTGTTCGCGGTTTGCCCCATATGATATTATATTTTATTGAATTATGAATTTAAAAGAGTGTTTTAAATTAAAGCGTATACCTGCATGCACAATCCAGACAGAATATAACGAACGACTGAGTAGCGCAAGAGAATAACTAAAAACGGCAAGACATATGCAAAAAGGAAAAGAATTCATCCACTAAGCGTTTATAAGAATATGAATAATTTTTTTATTTCTTTAATGTGTACAATAAAATACTTCAAACTCGTAATGCAAGGTGACGGAGGTAATGCATGCAGTTAATTCCGTCTTGTTCTGCTTTTTTCTCTTGTTAGTAGCCATTTATTTCCTTTTAACTGCCATTGCAGAAATAAAGAGGAAAATCAAAAAAATTGCTTTGCCATTAATAAATATAATTTCTTTATAATACCAATACTTACTAGTGAGTATAACTAATATATGGAATACTACCAGTGATCTAAAGGCGTAAATAATAATAGCATACACTACAGAGACTACGAAGGAAACAAAGAAAGAGTAGGAATGAAGAAAGGACAAAATAAGTAAATAAATAAAATCAAACAATGATAATGATTTTACAGAAGTTAACCCGCCCCCTCTGGCGTATGGCAGCGCATTTACTAATAATAATATTAATATTGTTATTATTATTATTTAAAATATATTATGTACACATATAGCATGTGTACATGTTATGTACATATATATGTCTTCAATATTCACCTTCAGTATTTTGTTAAATAAATCAGCCGCAACATCTGCAGTACCTGTATGGTAAGCATATGTAAGTAATTGAAGTACATCATTATAAGTGTACATACACTTCGTCTTACGGCTTCTCTTCCTTCCCTTCAGCCTCCTAATGTACGTACGTCTCCCCCTGCCCATCCTTCTTTTCCTGCCCTTTGTGCTACTGCCGCTCCTCCTCCCCATCTTATTATTATTATCATTAAAGAATAATAATAATAATAGAGCAAAGGATAAGCTACAATTACTGGCTATAAGGATTCGGTAGGTGGACCGACCTTAGCCACCTGCTGCTGCCACTTCCGCAGCTGAAGCAGATGCAGCAGCTGCAGCACCACCAGGAAGATGACAGTGCCTTACTGCAGGAGCAGACCAAGGAGTACAGCTGTAGCAAGAAGGAAAGGCGAGGAAGAAGAGAAAGAGGCGCCGTTCTCTAGAACTTTCTTCCATTCACTTTCCCTAGTAAAAGAACAAACAAATGAACAAATTATGCAACTATACTCCGTACAGCAGCAAATGCCGAAGCAATTGCAGCAGCAGCTGCTGCTGTGCTGCTGCATGCAAACAACAGTACTAACGGCAAGCCCAGAAAAGCCACGGCATCAGCAATGACACCTGTAGCCACACCAGCCATTACAGCAACAACTGGAGCAGGCAACAGCAACGCCAACAACAACAGCAACAACAACAGCATCGACAGCAGCAGCAAGTGTTGATTATAATTTACTGGAAAGGAGGAGTATCTTTCGTGAGTGTCTTCGGGTGGAAGAGACAAACATCTGCATTAAAAGGCTCTTCTTGTGTTCCTTCTCCATCTAATCGACGAACTGTCATTCCTCCCCTAACTCCTCCTCCTCTTCCTTCTCCTATTGCTGCTGGTATTGCTACCCCTCCTCCTACCCCTGCTGTTACTACTGATGGTGCTGGAGAGTGTTCTGAACCTTGTTGTCCAGTGCCAGGGCTGTCTTGGCCTGCTCCTGATTGCGTGCCTTGGCTACCATCTGCGCCGGGGGTGCCTGGGGAGGAGGTGGCGCCGCTGTTGTTCCCGCCGCCACTATTGCTGTTTCCGTTGCCAGTAGCGGTGCCGCCTCCTTCTGTTGAAGGGCTTTTTTGTGGGCATTGTATGACAGTGCATGCGACTGCTACTCCATCTTTAGGTGTATAGAGATTCATTAAGGATACAACATCCAGACTTTCGTATATGCCCTTTCCGGGTGTATAGGCAGGTGGTAAAGAATCTCCTATTGTCTTTAATGCTCCCTTCCATTGCTTTGTTGCTGCTGCACAATCGCCGACTGTTGAGCTTTGAATTGCTGCTGCTATAGTCACATCAACCTCAGCTTCTGCTAGCCATATACCAGGATCCGTACCCTGCAGCAACGCAAACAAATACAATGGGAGGGTTGTACAGAATGAAGAGGAGGAGTACGAGCAGCAGGAGCAGCAGCTGTTGCTACTACTGTTGCTGCTGATGCTGCTGTCCGCCTGCAGCTGAAGATGAACAGATCGAAAGACACAATTAAAAGTCGAAAAAAGAAATAAACAAACAGCAACACTTCATAACTCAGAAACAGCGCCCTTAGAAGAAAGCAGCAGGAAACAGCGACGAGGAAGCTGAATAGCATGCCATAAAGGGCGGCTAAAATAAGAAAATGGGAAAGACACTCAACATAAAAGAATACAACACAACACTAGAGAATGCTGTACTCGCTTTTCCTCTCCCATGTGTAGACCGCCAGGTGTGCGTGACTGTGCCGTGCCGGGGGCTGGTACAACGAGAATCGTACCGCTTTAATACTCGCACATAGTTGAGTGGGATCGACTCCTATTTGTCCAGGAGTTGCTGTGTCTGTATCTAGGACAGTAAAATTAGGAAACCCCATGGGTTTTCTCTCCTTGTTCATCTGCTCCGAGCAGTCGACGGCTGCTGCGGGCAAGAGGAAAGAAACACAAGCACACAATATCTACTAGTCTTCATCTTCTCTCTTCCATGGGACATTTTTACAGGAAGGCAATAGGTCTGCAACACTCACAAAATGCATTGCCGCCGCGGGGTGATGCCTCTGTGAACAATGTAGGCACGGCAGCAGCCGTGCCAGCAAGCACTGTGAAGCAGAAACGACGCATGATTATGGTTCGAAAAGAGCCCAAGGGAACCTGAAGGAAACTTCCCCCTAAGAAAAATAAAACTAAAGAAAAAACGTAAAAGCAAATAGGTTATTAAGTGCCACAAGTCAAATAAAGACGAAACGTGATGAACAGCATCGGCGAGGGAGCTGAAGAGACCGAGGTGAAAATTGGAGTGTACGTGCAGCTCCAAGACGACCATCATGGCGGTTGTTTGGCGGTTTCTGCATATCCTCTCGCTGTTGATTTTTGGTGGAGCTTCTGATGTGAAAATGTTTAATTAGAAATTAACCTTTTAATGAATTCTTTTTTCAGCTCTAGTTGATGATTATGTTGCACCAACAACGCCGTTTCTTCGATGTTCAAATACACACAAACCGACTGAAAAACAACCGGCTTCCCGAGCTTCCTTGAACTGGCATTTTTCTTCAGGTATAAAAAGTTCGAATAGTTGCAATTAATTTTTAAATTCGAATTCAGTTAAGAAAAATCCAAAAATTTCCAATTTCTCATTATTTTCGGTCATTCGACTGACTGGCTGCCGGCGTCGCGTTTAATTATTCTGTAAATGTTGGTGCTTTCCTTCATCTCCCATTCTGATTTTACCCTGAGCTTAGCAAATCTTTATTCTCTCCCTACATATAATTACTTGAAATATAAGAATGTTCAATTTTCCCTTAAGAACTGTGCGCTGCTAATGCTTAACGACGATTATATACACACAACTCTGCCAGCTGTGACCCTGTCCTTGTAGTCGTAAACGTTCGTATTTTCGCTCTTTTCCCCTTATAAATAGAAATTTCCGAATTGTATGCTATTGAATTCTGAATTAAAACTTTTTTCAAAGGAAGCGTATATGGCCGATGTGCACGTACACCCCAGACAGCAAGCAACGGCAAAACGAACGACGCGCGGCGGTAGAGATATAGGAATAATACATAAATGCAAGAAATATGCAAAAAAAGTCATTTATCACCTTTTACCTGCCGTGGCAAAAATAAAGAAGAAAATATACATAAAAATGTGTGTGGCCACAAATATGTAGAAATGTAATTGCTATATAATACCAATACTTACTAATCAGTATATGTAATATATTTAATGCTCATAGTAATACGAAGGCGCCAATAACAATGATAACACACACTAGAGCGACTAGGAAAAAGACAAATAACAAACTGTACAAAAAAAATAGGAAGAGGGAAAGGGCAAAACATATAAGTAAAAGGAAACAATAATAAATAAAAAGTTTTATTCAGAGAAGAAATAACAACGCCTCCTCCGCTGGCATCCTTCTGCTGTCTCTATGGAGGTGGAATAACTAATAATAATAATAATAATAATAATAATAATAATAATAATAATAATAATAATAATAATAATACTGTTATTATTATTATTAAAAATACACTAAATACCCACATATGTATATGTTATTTACCTATGCATCTGCACTATATTAACCTTAATTATATATATATATATATTATAT